GACCCACGTTCATTTGCGGCAATAATTTTTCACGCAAGAGATTTGGAGCAGTTCATCTGAGGAGCTGTCAGCTCCCTTGCCTCGATACACAGTTCCTATGCTTGTTCTCCCACAAGAAAGCAGCTAATGAGAACCTGAGCGTTACGATCAGTTAATAAACACTTGGAACCCTGTGGGTACAGCGGATGTCTGTCGTGGGTCCAAACAGCTTTTCCTGATCACTGAAAATATCATTTGCCCATTTACAAGTCTAAATTTAGATGTCAGACAAGGAGAACTTCTAAATAATACACGCACACACATAAATAATACTTGAGAGATTATACACATACTAGAAACCTTCACTGGGTACAAACACTTGAAGATTTTCCTACCTAAAGCGTATGAAATTCAAAATACTTACAGCTTCTACAAATAACACACTTTGTTTTCTCCTAGGGTAGTATAATGTTTTCACCATTGGTGTGAAATGGTGAAATGGTGTTTTCACCATTATACTTTCCCACTATCCCATTTTTCATTTAAATCCCCCCTAAAATTGATGTCTTCCACAAGGAAAAGAATTTGTGGTTATTTCACTAACATACAGAAGAAAAAAAAAAGAGTCAATAAGCATACATATTTCATTTAAAGAAAAGAAAGAAGCCAAAAGCAATACTGTCAGCAAGATGCAGAAGTGCCCTCCCGTGACTAATGCTGACGGGCCTGGGCTCCCTCTTCCCAAACTGTGCGTTCTGCCACTTCTTCTAATGCCGCTGGTGGTAAAACTTAGATCACAAGCTTTAAGGCGGGATCAGTGTGGCATACAAAAAGTAGAACCTTTTTCCCTGGTAATCCGTGCCCTTATAAAAGTTACTTGTGAGTAGAATCACCTTTTTTGGCTCCAATTGAGTCCCATGGTGGTTAAGAGTAAACAGAAGAGGCTTTAGCATTTCTGTCACATTCCTCTCAAGAGGGTTAAGCTTGGTAGCGGATGGCATAAGACTGTGATAAAATCCCAAAGATCCTCAGGCATTTTTACTGCCTGAAATTGCTTTTCCTAGCCTCCTGTCAACACGGCTGAAAGCACTAAGGTTTCCTTATATTCACCCTATCCTTCACAGCACTTTGACAACGGAAAAATCCACAGAAATTAAGGATGTTAAAGCAAGATTAGTTTTTGCTACTATTTTCCTATGGGTATGTCAGAGAGCAGAGCCATTTGCAGCTTCTCCCCCATTCAGAAACTGTTCCTTTAGCACTTGACACTCGTGCAGCTCAGGTCGTATTTTCTGGAAGGATTTTCCTAATATCAGATGGAAAAAAGGAACTGTGTCATTTAAGAGCGACGAGAAAAATCCATGAGTAGGAAGTTATCTTAAATAGCCTCCTAAATTGCTTTCACCCCACTAATCTGTAGGAATGACATAGTCTTTACAATTAAAAAAGCTTAATGACTGCAAAGATCTACATATAATTCAGTATGTAGTAAAAAATAAACAAACTAACTAAACATATATTTCAAAAAAAAAAATCAGATTCTACTTAAATGCCATATTTGGGGCGGACAAAAACCATGCAGTCTTTGAAAAATACTGTCTTTAAGCAACATTGCAGGAAATACTGCAAGTGACGAGAGAACAACCTCAGTGTGATGCTTCCTTTTCTGAGGAGCCCTAAAAATTAACCAGCATCTAGTTAACAAAGTCATGTCTGTTTTGCCATTCAAACCACATACATTAAAATATTTTATGGAAACAAACAAAAAAGCAGCGCAAAACAACCGTAATTCAGATCACTAGGAAAATGATGCACCACTCCTCCCATAAAACAGCCTACGAAAAGGAGAGGGGGAAAGGGGTGAATAACGGCAAAGGCTGAAACTTCTCCTTTTGGTGGCACTGACAGCAAAACGGAAAGATGTGAAAATCAGCTGATCCTGGAGGACGGGTGGGGAGGCCACTGCCACCTTCACTGACATTGTGCCCCCTCAGCAATTTTGGCCTCAGGAACCTCTGGCACTTTTCCTTGGCAAGCGAGCTCCAGGACCATCATGTTGCTAGGCACACTGCAGCTGATTTTTGAGATTTATTAAAGGGCTATTCCCACAGTGAGCAGAGACATCGGATCCTCAACATTCAAACAGCAGCATTAAAAAAATCCATATATTTATTTGCTTGGCTGCAACCCTAATATGGAAAGATAATGTAACTTCACGTTGAGAAACAACTGTGCGGCAGTATAAAAGCTGATGCATATCCCATCAGCTCGATATACTGCTGAAACAACTTCTGTTTCTATTCAGATGCCATTTGTCATATGCCAGATAACAAGCTAATGAAATAGCTAATCATAGCTAACCATTACATTGATACACTTTTTCCAATAGTCGATTTCTGATATTGACTGGTAAGCTACTTTACAAAATATATAATTTGGTTTTCTGAGTGTGAAATCTAAACATGACTATGGATATTCAGTTAGCAAACGTTAATGAACTAAAAATATTTGTAAAAACAATATAAATGCCGTTTATAAAAGATCTTCACAATCCGTATCTATGAAAGGTACCTCAATAGAGCGTAACACTCCAAACTTTGCACTAAAGGAAGCGCAAAGATTTTGCACAAAAACCAGCTTACCCTGATGCCTCATGCTTCTCCAAATACAATTACAAATTGGCTTTGTAAGCAAAAATGAATAAAATCTTACTATTACACAGTCAACATTTATAACACAGCGCTGTGCTTTTTGTTACTGCACTTCTCTTTCCTTTTACAAGATAATATTTTAAAGAGAAATTCAACCTAGCAATTCCAGAAAATAAGGAAGCACGTAGATTTTGATAAGGAAAAAACTTTTTTTCTGGTAGCACTTTAGCTGCCACTACTTCTTTTTTTTTTCCCTGTCTTTTCCTTAGGCTGAAGACAGGAGGTTTCAAAAATATTTATATGATTGATCTCTACATAACCTCTGTTATACAAGTTTTCAAGAGAAATATAATGGCACAACAATCTACTTGCACAAAAGAGCTTTGCACACGTTTGTTTTGCTTACCTGTGATACGTACCTCTTCAATTTAACCTTTTTATTTAACATTTTACCCATAAAAAGCTGGAGTTTTTTCTCATGACTGGATATTGTTTTAAAGAATCAAAAGTTTCCAGCGCCTCCCTCACTGTATCAGTATATGGAGAGACTTTATTATTACAGATAATTGTCAAGAACGATCTGCTGAATGAGTTGAGACTGTGGATTTCTTTGATTAGCGTCAGCTCACGTATTTACTAGATATTTTATAATACATAAAGGTCTTCAGGTACATGAAAGTGGGACGTTACTCTTATAACATTTTTGTGCAAGAGATGCAAGCTTTAAAAGTCTCATTCCTTAACCTGATTTTCATACAAGGTCATGAGGCTATATATAATGGCAGAATGAAAATCAGAAGTGATGAATTGGGTGACTGAAATTTCTATTGGGCTTTCTTTATCCATCAAAATGTCCAGCCCTGCAGTTTTCAGTAGCACCAGCTGGCATCTTCAGACAGCATTAATAAAACAATAACAATCCTTCCTTGAATAAAATTAAAAGTAACGATTTTAGAAAATACTTTGAAAAATGAAACCCACTCACTAAATCTAAACATTCATGTGACTGCCTACTTTTATAGGTCAAATTTTGTCCTTGAGAAGAGCAATAAGGAACGCAGCATTTAACCGTGGTGGGGATGTTTAATTTGCCAGATTCCAGGAGGCTCAGATTTACAGAGAACAGTGTGATTTTCCAGCAATTCAAATTTAGGATCCAGAGAAGCAAATCAGCACTCTTACATTCACATAAGCTATCACACTTATGCCCAAATAAAAGGAGAAAGAAAGCCCTTACGTGCAGAGTCTACATGTAAGACTTAACGTAATGTAAGTTTGTATCTCCAGAAAAGGAAGAAGTTTAACCCTACAGCCTGAGGGAAAAGGAAATCTTCAGTCCCCACCGACAGCTCCACAAGCTCAGCACCATGGTAGAGAGAAGAGTATTGCTAACTCTGCCCTCTAGGGCAGCGAGCAGGTGGGCTGCCAAGCGTCCCTTCTGCTGCAGCCTCTTCCGCGCGCAGCTCCCTTTCTGAGCTCCCGTTTGCAGGCAGTAAAGCTTCAAGTCGCGGTACATCAGCTCCGTTTGCTGAGGTTATACAAGCCGGGTTCAACTAAGGCACTACGAATACAAATGAGTTAGCTTGTGCATTTGTATATACTTGCCGTTACAGTACCACACGAGTAATAGATCTACTACCTTCACGTTGGGTTTTCTTGTTTTTAATAAAAGGCTTGTAAAACTACGAGTATGTTCTAGAACTTCACTCGAATGCCAGGAGGTCGCACCGACACTTGTTGCCAGGAATGTCGACAGAGAGCAGGAGCGGGGAAGCGTCCGAGCGCGGAGCGTAGACGCAGAGCTACTTCACCAGTATGAAACCAGGGTAGACGTGGACTTACTTCTTCACTGGTATGAAACCAGCCCAGGGAGTTGTGAAAAATCAGTTATTTCATTGTTCCTGGACTAATTCTCGCACATCGAAGACCTACGAAGCAGGAAACTAAACATAATGACAAAACTACATGAGGTCCCAGTCTGCAAGAAGAGCCAGGGTTACGTAGCCTCAGAGAGCAGCAGTCAGCCAAAGAGAGCCTTCTGAAATACACAGTTAACTTTTCAAAACAAGGCAACACACACATTCCCGGAGAGGGGAAGCAGGACGAGGTATGCGCAAAGAATACCACTCATTTTCCGTAATATTTATCAGGGATAATTGTCAGCAACAGTTCCGCTTAGCTGGAGGAACGTTCCAAGACATATTTCAACCTGCTTTCAAGACTGTGCAATGTTAGAAACCGGCATAAAGCATTACAGACAGCAAGTAAGCAGCTTTTAGCTTTGGATTTTAGCTAGTTCATTCTCAAGTTCTAAGCCAAAAGAGCTTTCAGAGAGACCAGAGCATAACATCAGGGAACTAAAGCCAAGGCTGGTTTTGATAGACATGATACTACTTTATTCCATTGTTTCAGCTTTCTTACAATTTTAAAAAGGTACAGGGGTTCAGAACCACCTCAACAAAACAAAGAGTACATACTTCAGGGAGACCTAGACTCAAACCACAAGTGTGCAAATGTGGTTAGCTTCCTTTACAAAAAGTAATAGGCACAATCTTTACACACACGTTTTGGTAAGAGAAGGAATAATAGTGCAGCGTTAAAAGGCACCAATGATCTACAATTGGGCCTTTCTTAAAAGCCAATAACCATCTAAGAAAATTACATTTGGTTCAAAAATAATCATTTAAATATTTCATTTATTGGCATGCATCTGAACCCCTGGCAATTTATTACACAAACCTAATGTGCACCCTTGCAAAACAAAAATATGTAATCGGTGGACCTGAAAGTCAGTTCATTACAAAAGGAAATACCGAAGCTCCTTGCCTGTATTTAATACTAGACTGTCTTGTGCACCTCCTCCAAGAACGCTTGTCTAACAAATATCTATTCAACAACTGCACAGAAGTATTTCTCTTAAAGTAAGTGTATTTTTTAATCCTGTAGCACTGACCTATTCCATGTGCTATGAAAACATTAGGCACAGACCACAAATTACTTTCTCTTTTTAAAAAAATACAGTATGTGCAAGCTAGGTTTACACAAAGGATTGGCAGCTACAACTGTAAGCTATTTAGACCTCCCAAAGAAAAGATTTTCTTATTTATTTTTAATTTTCTAAGCAGTGATGCACACTGCTGTACGCCATTATCATATTTGCATTAGGAGATTATCCGGGTAGCCGATAAAGGAAAAGCTTTAGTACACCCTAAAGGACACTACATAACACTGTGTGCTAATTTAACAGGATCAAGAGAATGAAAGACTGAAGAAGTCGTTGAACACGGGCGACTGCGCTTACTCAGCTAGTCAGAAAGGGCTATTTCTTTCTGCAGAAGAGTGATTTGAAACTCAGTTTGCCCTGTAGGCACCCTCAAACTAAGCCACTTCCACGTGATGAAACCTAGGGATGTACAGTATGGGAAAAAATGGAAAATGAGAGGGAGCGGTTTTGTCAAAGTTTTACCAAAATGTGCAATTTTATCAAAAGCATCATGCCCAGTGCCTGTTTTATGCATTGCGGATTATTTGTACAACTGAAAAATTGTACAAGACGTGAGCAGAGAGCTGATTAATAATCTGCAACATCTACTGTAAGTCCTCAGGAATATAATTTATGGATAGCCACTTACTGTGTTGTTGAGTTTCCTCTTAAATATATTTAAATTCAGAAGGCTACAGTATATTCTGACACAAAGATAATAAGACCCCTTTTCTACAAGGGGAAAAATATAAGGTAGTAACTAACTAATTGATTTTACGAGGAACCTCCTTTGATGTGCTAGTTATTTCATGCCCTTTGGAAGATCCGAGTCCTGACTTTCTTCATCCTCTCTGCTGAATTTGTCTCCTTACGATTTCACAAGAGCTATATTTAAGTTCAGTGACCCCTCTTACAGCAGCCTTTTCCATTTCTGAAATCCCTTTTAAACTCATCCCTACTCTCAGAGCAAACTATTCAAGTAAGTATTTCTGTTCTGGCAAGTTTCCAGATATATCAAATACTATCAAAACTCCATGTTTGATTACATGCATCAGTGTTTTTAAATAGAGCAAGAATTAGCCCGTTTTCTTGGTTTAGGGTCCCGTACATCCCTGTCTGTTAAACACATACAAGAAGAACACATTGTCTCTGACAGCCTCCGGAGTCCCAGTCTGAAAACGCTGTTGGAGAGGCTATATATCACACAGTTGCAGAAACTATTGCTTATAGCAAGCCAGGTTGTTAGGAAGGAAAGTGCTGGATTTTCCAACACCCTCGAGCTCTCCAGCAGAAAGTATATGATATAAGGGAGCCACAGCATGTAGAACACACTGGTTATCCGAAACAAAACCATGGCATAGCGGCGATCAGGGCTGTGCCCAGTCTCCCCAGCAGCATCCACTTCATGGCTAGGAAATCGAGCTCTCCGATCATTTATCTCTTTGGTGTGCTGCCGGCAAATTTTAAAGATGTGGAAATAGGTGAAACATATGACAAAGGCAGCAGGAGCATATAGTAAGCACACAATAAAGCCAGTGAAATAGGCATTAGTTGGCCAGGAGGTAGCACACCATTCAAAAATGTCTCCGTGGTAACCAGGTTTTCCCCAACCAAAAAAGGAAGGCAAGAAGATCAGACAAGAGTATATCCAGATCAAAATGATGCAGATTCTCAAGCGACAAGGTGTGACCAGTTGATTATAGGAGAGAGGCTTTGTTATAGCGAGATAGCGATCCACACTGATGCAAGCAAGACATGCCATAGATACGCTTTTCAGCACAGAGATGATATATCCAAAAACTTGACAAGTCAAGGACTCGTGGACACCTGTCGAATAGTGAAGCAGTGACAGAGTAGGAACCAAGCAGCTAACTCCAACAAAAAGATCAGCATAGGCCATGGTCTGAATAAAATAGCTGGTGGTATAATGATGCAAAAGTGGAGCACAGTGAAAAACAAATATAACAGTTAAGTTACCCGCAATAATTAAAAACGTTAGCAAGACAATAACAACTGTCTCAAGGATACAGATGTCAACTGCATTGTAGTGACCAAATCCAAGAGGGCAGGAGAGGTGCTCAGATATGTTCATAACACTAGCGCTCACATTCAGAGTCCTCCATTCAATCCATCTGGACTGGTTCATGTTTTACGATTAGGGAACACTGCAATCTGAGCTTTAGCGAGCAGATGACCTGCTTAACAGCAGCTAAACTCTGCTTCAGCGTCTCACGATCTCTCTTTGTAGACGCTGCCAGTGCTTACATCTGACAGGGTTACAGTCCCATAGCTGTTGATGCCTCCTCAGCATCAGGGCATCACTCTGGCACACCTTAGCTTTAAGGAAAGAAAGAAAGAAAGAAAAAGAAAGAAAGAAAAAAAAAGCCAGAAAGAGAAAGGCCACTGATCAGCTTCTCCAGTGCTCTCGACCAATCTTTAGCAAACACAAGGCACTTCTAAAACAAACAGGTACTGTGAAATACAGAAATAAATACTGAAGAGACATTTTCCTTTCTCAGGGAAGGAGGGGGGAAAATCTGTGACCGTTTATTTTCCTGAGAAAGTCAGTTACTTTGGAATATAACGGGGCGAGGGGAGGGGAGGCGTAATCTCAGTACAACTCGGGTTTCCCGGGCCAGCAGTTACCGGAGGTAATCTTTCTAACGTCTCAATTTAAATCACAGAATGACTGGAGAGTAAAGGAAAAAGTTCATTGTATCATGCTGTCTTTTTTGGCTCCGTTCAGGAGATGGTACTCTGCCTTACCCACGCTATTCATCAGAAAGGTAAGGAAAACATTTTTGTCAAGGTTAATTCCAATAGACTCACCACCATTAGGGTATGAATAATGAATTTTATTTGGAGGGAGGGAGGCGGGTGGGGGAGAAGGCAGATTTGTCCTCTGACTCCCAAGAAAGAAAACATACAACTCGCATACAATGAGGAAGATTGTGTCTATGCATTTAAAAATGAAAATAATTTAAGAATAAAATTTGGAGACTTAGGTTAATATTCACAACTCCTTCCGACAGTTATAGTCCGTCACAAGTTATTAATGCCAGAAGCATAACTCAAGGTCCCCACAGACAAAATAAATCCTCTTGCATTTAAATTTCCGGCAATGGTAATTTAAAATTATCTTTGGAAACTATGCCATTATCTGCTACAGCGGATGAGTACACAGAAGTTCATAGGTATATCCACGACATTGCTCACCTCTGTAGCAACACCTGAATCATTTCACCCCCCCACACAAGGGGAGCAGAAACTTCCATCTGCATTCTGCTGGGAAGCTAATGAAATGCTGATTTGCCTAGAAAAGCTGCCATTGTTTACTACGCCGTTATTCAGCTCCGTCTTCTGGCGAGTTTGGGGCTTTCTGGTCTTACCAGATGATCAGCATAATAAATAACCGTTTTAAAAAAAAAAAAAAAAAAGTTCTTCTAGCAGCAGGACATTACCTTGCTTATTTTATTTGCAGGTGCGGAGCAAGCGTACTTTTAAAGGGAAACATCTTCCGTGTTCAGTTTTAGGTAAATGCTTCATTAGTTCAGGAATCGTTAGGCAGGTCAGTAAGTGTATACAATCTTGTTTTCTGAAAGGCCCCTAAAACGTTATAAGCATCTCTAATCCTGGAGTTCCTGAGACTAGCAGGCAGGCGGTGAGAATTAATCAGTCCACATATAATGATTTCCAAGGTCATTCAGATATTACGCTGGCATTCGCTCCAAGTCCCTTTAAAAGTACTCGAATCTCTCCGACGCTTTTGATAGTCCTTGCTGTGCCTCCAAGAGGAATTTCACAGGCTAGAAAAGACGATTTTTCTTCAATTCTGTGGCAGCCGTTTGACAGAAAGCGTTCTTTGCGGAGTTCATTTCCCGGCGCGCATCACCACGCTGTACAGAAAGTCCTTCGGCTCTTCTGACAGCCCCGAAGATCTCCGGCTGCCCCTTCCCTCCCTCCG